AACCCCAACCCAAAAAAAAAAAAAAAGTATCCAAAAAAACAAGCTGAGATGAAACTGGTTGAACTGTTAGAAACATCATTGCTCAAAAATGGTTCATAAATATGTGAATATATATACTTCTTATCCATCCAACCCAGCATTTCCCAAATTCATTTGCATACAGGACACTTTTTTCATGTCACATAAGTTCCATCAAAACGACATACATTTTAAAGAAAAAAAGTAGTTGTTTCTCAAAATTCAACAAATATTTGCCAACTATGTATGAATGCACCCATTTTGAATTATTAAATCATAATGTGGTTATCTAAAACCTATAGCTTAGACTCTAAATGCAAAGCAATTTTTACATAGCAATTTTAAATTATTTTAACTGTACACTCAATTTATTTGTACAATAGCTTTTAAATGGCCTAAGTTTGGTAACTTAATAGGGTGACATATATTTTAAGAAATTTAATTTTAATTTATTTAACTTTGTGTTAGAAATAAAAATTACCTGAGAATCAAAGTTAAAACATACATCTGAAGTACAAGGAATGGATATGAAAAACTTTCACGGAGAGGTGGTGTCCACATCACACGGGTGGCCTGAAATTCAATAAAACACTCACTTCACAGCATGTTCACTACAACATTATGAATTTTAAAATCAAGGATAAGCATGATTTAATAATTTTAATACTAGGCTCACTAGCCCCTATTTCTGAATGCCTGTCATAGCTTCTCAGATTCTGGAACTTGCTTAATGTACACAGTCATTAAGTATAGCACAGTTAACTACCAAGTCTGGGAACAAGTGATAGATATATCAGACCAAGCAAAAGGAAACCTAAGGGACAAACAAGATGCTATAAGGGCAATGAGGATCCTGGAACCAACAAACCAGATCCACAGTCCAGTCCGTCAAGTATAACCCTGATATCCCAGGCTTTAGAATATATAAATGCCCAGAAAAGCACCTAAACAAATGTCACCTAGGACATTCACAAACACCAAGAGAGTTTATATATAACAAGTTCAAGTGAATATAGATACACTTTATAAATAGTTAAGTTTGCCTTTGAATTTGTGAAATAAATTCAAAGGCAAACTTAACTATTTATATTGTGAAACTTGAAAGGGTTAAGTATAAATTTTAAAAACAACTGTAAGTATTTGGGAATCACAAATGTGATGCCTATAAAGCAAGTATTCATATGTTTTCATATGGACTTGAAAATTATAAGACATATAGGTCGGAGTATTATAAAAGCTTTATATCAAAAATTCTGCAATTCTAGAAAGAATCTAAACTCTTAATAGTTTGCAAGTCTTAAAAGTTATTGCCCCTCTTCCATGAAACCAAAATTATGGAAGGTTGAGGCGGAAGGATCGCCGGAGCCCAGCAGGTCGAGGCTGCAGTGGCCGGGAGTGGCCACTGCACTCCAGTCTGGGCGACAGAGTGAGACTCCGACACACACACACACACAAAAAAAACCTTGGAAGATGAATGGTATGTATACAGTCAACTCATACTACCAGTTGTCTGGTATACTAAAAGAAAAGGCTTTGTCTTTATATCAACACATTTTGTTTTTGTTTTCAGTTAGAGTCTCACTCTATCGCCCAGACTGGAGTCCAGTGGCACACTCCCGGCCACCACAGTCTCGACCTGCTGAGCGCAGGCGATCCTTCTGCCTCAGCCTTCCAAGTTGCCAGAACTATACATGTGTGCTACCATGCCCAGCTAATTTTTTGATTTATTGTAAAGACAAGGTCTCACCAAGTTGCCCAGGCAGGTCTCAAACCCGCAGGCTCAGGCAATCCACTAGCCTCGGCCTCCCAAAGTGCTGGGATTATAGGCTGAGCCACCAAGCCTGGCCCTATATTGCTTTAAGTTAAAATAACATATTTAAGGCATGCTATGTATAAATTCTATAATTCCTTTTCCTAACTAACTTTTAAAAGTTAATCCAAGAGCAATGAATAAAAAAGACTTCTGCCCTATATAACCCATGCCATAATATACTCTTACTACTAACTTTCAGGAGCTAACTATTTAGTATGTTATAGTTTGCTCCAAAAGGTTAGTAGTCAGATTTTCTCTCTTTTTCACTACCACATCCTCAAGCCCTAACAGAGTATGGTACATGGTATATGCTCAATATTTTGCTGAATGAATCCGTTATATTTTATAAGCTTCTATGAGATCTATTTTAGGCGAACCACATCCCACTGGGCTGAATTAAAAAATTAATTTGTATTTTGAATTTAGCGCTTTGTGTTACTGAAAAGGCAGCATGATAGAAAGAAGTAAGGAAGCCAGTGGCAGTGCCTTAACTACGTGCTGTTGTCAGGCTGGAAGACCTGGTCCATCCTCGTTAAGGGGAGTACGATAGGTAAAAAGTTTCAGTTGTGCAAGATGAATAAATTCTGGAGATCTGCTCTACAACATTGTGTTACCAATACTGTACCGTACACTTAAAAATCTGTCAAAAGGGCAAATCTCATGTTACGTGTTCTCACCACAATTTTTTGAAAGATTAAATAAAAACAAAGCAGCAAGATTTTAAAGCCAGACGATGTAGAATAGGAAATCCAGCTTCATCATTTGGTGAATGTGGAATCTTGGATAAGTAAGTTAACTTTTCTAAATTTCAATTTTGTGAATTTTATGTTAAAGATAACAACCACTCTCCCCTCAAAACGCAGTAGGATTAAATAAGATAATTTACATTATTTCCCCTTTTTTCCTATAGAATATATACATATATACTTATTAAACACCAGACAAGATATTTCACATACTTTAAATTCTAGACATTCAAAAATTTAGGTCAACATGTTTAAAGTATCAGCTTACACAAGTTCTTTAAAATATTGAAAAGTCATAAGTAATATGCAATATGTATTGTTTTGATGAGTATATTTCCTTGTTCCTATATAGCTCCTTCTATTTCTTAAAAATTATTTTCTAGAATACAAACCTCTCCATGATTGAAAAAGTAGCACAGTACTGTAATTAGACCTCCTAGTTGAGTCCCACTGTAAAAAAAAGTATATAATCATAATTTATGTAAAATATAGTGAGTTTTTCACAAAATAATCTCAGAATTTAAAATAGTTTTCCACATATAAAGCATAGTAATTCTAAACTATGTAACTCGTATTAGTAAAAATTTCAAAAGTACTCATGTTGTTGATGTTTAAATCCTGAATATACAACCATAAAAAGTACACATAAAAATTAATCTAAATCCCATCCTCGTTGCCAAAAAAACTAAATTATTTCTAAAAAATATACAATGTGAACAAAAAATAATTTTTAACAAACAAGTCAGCACTTCAGAGTCCATATTGCGTTCTTTGAATATTCTGAATGAAGGGAAATTTCTGCCTTTTGAATTCTGTCTTTTGAAACTGACTGACAGATGAAAACAAGAGTCTAAGTTTCATTTAGCAATAGCTTGGAAGTGTCTAAACAATTCCTTTTGTTGAGTCTCTAAGAAGTAATAATGTAGAATACAAAAATAAGACCAAAGATGGCTAATAATCATCAAAGAGTAAGAAACATTTCTTAACTTGCCTTTTTGTGATTATATCTGTGCGGGAGGGGGGCGGGGAGAGGCAGAGAGAGACAGAAAGAGCATAGATGCTCAAATTCACATTTGTGTAGTATTTCCACACCTCCTAATACATATCCTCATTACCCCACTTTGCTAAGCACCACGCAGACAGTCTCATTCATTACCATATCCCCAGCTTCACACTTGGAGGACAATAAATACTGGTTGAATGAATGGAGAAAGGAAGAAATGAAATTAAAAAAAAAAACAAAAACAAGCAGAGGAAAGCTAATGAGAAGTGATTTACCATTAATACACTTTCACTAAAGGAAATTCAAAGGATACACTTAACAAAAAAAATTTAATAATAGTTCAGGGTCCACTTATGAGTGAGAACATGTGGCACTCAGTTCTTTCTTTTGTGATAGATCACTGAGTATTATAGACTTTAAATTCATCCAAGTTGTTGCCAAGTTCATAATTATGTCCTTTATGGCTGAGTAATATTCTATTGTATATATATACCATATTTTTTTATCCAGTCTACTTTTGATGGGCAGCACAATTGGTTCCATGTTTTTGCTATTGTGAATAATGCTACAGTAAACATGTGTGTGAAGAATATCTTTTTCATAGAGTGATTTGAGTTCCTCTGGATATATTCCAGAAGGGGGATTACTGGGTCATATGGTAGTGGGAAACTGCCAGGGGAGGGAGGGTGGAGGCATACTCTATCAATAAGCGTACCTGATCTCAAACAAGGTGAAACAGAGACCAAAGTGAGGCCCAAACTTTACCTGTACAATGACCATTTGTATACCTAATCCTGAATTGTACCCTACATCTTTAAAATTAAAAAAAAAATTTTTTAAGTAAGAAATTGAAAGAAGGATAGTATGAGAAGCATGTAGGCATACAAATAAATCTAAACAAGGTTTGACAACAATCATGGCAGCTGTGAGGGATAAGTAAGTTAACAATCATGGCAGCTGTGAGGGGTAAAGGGCGTAGTAAATGATAGTAATAAAACGTAAGATGTGAGAGGATGTTTTCATGTAAAGGATTCTAAAATTCCTTGTGTTCACTGAAAGAAGAAAGATATCAATTCATTTTAGATTTGATCAAGTTATATGTGCATGCTAACATTTTATATTTTATTTTATTTTAAAGATGTGGAATACGATTCAGAATTATGTATACAAGTGGTCATCGTACAGGTAAACTTTGGGCGTCTCTTTGGTCCCCACTTCACCTGGTTTGAGATCAGGTATGCTTAATGGTGTTGTGTGCCCCCCAACCCCTAGCAGTTTTCTGCTACTGCCAATCCCTTTCTTATAGAATTATGGTTAACATTCAGGGTCCCATTATGAGTGAGAACATGTGGTACTCACTTCTTTGTTTCTGTGATAGATCACTGAGTATGACAGACTATAAATCCATCCAAGTTGCTGCAAAGTCGGTAATTTTGTTCTTCTTTATGGCTGCATAATTCTATAATATATGTACCATATTTCTTTAATATATTCTACTTTCAATATGCAGCACAATCCATAATTCTATCATATATATGTATCATGTTTTTCTAATCCAGTCTACTTTCAATATGCAGCACGGTATTTTCCATGCTTTTTGCTATTGTGAATAAGGATGCAATAAATATGCATGTGCAGGTTTCTTTTTTATAGAATGATTTGAGTTGCTCTGGGTAGATCCCAAAAAGGGGATTTCTGGGTGATGTAGAAGGTCGATTTTCAAAATTTTTTAGGAATTACCACACTGTTTTCCACAGAGGTTGTACTAGTTTACACCAACAGTGTAGAAGCATCCACTTTTCCCCTGCATCCTCTCCAGCAACTGTTGTTTTTTGAGTTATTGATGATGGCCATCCTGACTAGAGTTAGGTGGTATCTCAGTGTGGTTTTAATTTCCATTTCTTTGATGATTAATGAGTCTGAGCATTTTTTCATACATCTGTTGGTTGTTGCTATATCTTCTTTTGAGAAGTATCTATTCATATCTTTTGTGCACTTTTTAATAGGGCTGTTTGTTTTTTTCCTTTTGGCACATTTGAGTTCCTTTTTAGATCCTGAATGTTAGATCTCTGTCAGACATATAGTTGGAAAATATTTTTTCCCAGTCTGTGGGCTGTCTCCCTGCTCTCTTAATGGTTTCTTAGTTTTTGCAGAAGCTTTTCATTTTGATGAGGTTCCACCTGTCTATCTTATCTCTTATGGCATGGGTATTTGGGGTTTTGATCAGGAACTGGTTGCCTATTCCAATTTTCATAAAGTCTTCTGTGTTTTCTAAGGTTTGCATTCTTATATATAACAACCACAAACAGGCAGTGAACCAAATAAAAAGCACAATCTCATTCACAACAGCCACAGGGGGAGAAAAATGAAATGCCTCGGCATCTTCCTAACCAGAGAAGTGAAAGATCTTTACAATGAAATCTACAAAACACTGCTCAAAGAAATAAAAGATGATACAAACAAATGGAAAAATATTCCATGCTCATAGATTGGAAGAATCAACATTATTAAGATGTTCATCCTACCAAAGACAATCTACAGATTCAACACAACACCAATTAAATTACCAATATCATTCTTCTAAGACCTGGAAAAGACAATACAGAAATTCATATGGAAGCAAAACAAGCACAAATAACTAAAACAATCCTTAGCAAAAGAAACAGGGTGAGAGGTATTACTCTTCCAGATTTTAAACTTTACTATAAGGTTACAATAATCAAAATGGTCTGGTATCGGTACAAGAACAGGCATATGAACCAAAGGAGCAGGATAGAGAGAAATCTCAATTTCTCAACCAACTCATCTTCAACAAAGCCTCCAACAACAACTACTGGGGAGAGGAGAACCTATTCAGTAAATGAGGCTGAGAAAACTAGCTGACTACATGCAGAAGATTGAAACAGGACCCCTACCTATTACCATACACAAAAATCAACTCTAAATGGATCAAAGACCTAAACATAAAACCTCAAAGCATGCTAACACTTTATGATTAACCACTAAAAGAATTAAATAGAACATTTACCATTTTCCTAACAAGTTAGTGCCAATAGAGGAGGCCAGGGTAAGAAATACAAAATCTCCTCTCAAACTCCCACTTCTTTTGATTCTTATATGCCATAGTTTCCAATCTCCTCACAATTCTGATGATACTTTATTGGTTATGTCTATATGTCCTTCTTAAATACTAGACCCTAATAATGTAGTTAATATTTCAGAACTGTATAACCAATTTAGAGAGACTCTCAGCTCTTGGGCGGCCTTTCCAGTGAAAAATACTAATTTTAAAAAGTTTTAGTCATGATTACATAACATTTTACATATTAAGAAATACAAAAGTATAAGAAATACAAATCATTTTCAAAAATAGAACGTTTTTTAAGCCTGAACAATCTCAAAGTGACCTTTATTTTTCCTCAAAATATGTTAATGAGCATACATGAGGTCTGACAATTATGTTCGCAAACTCATGCTAGAAAAAGTGCTATATGCTTTATTGCTGAATATCCCTACAATCACCTTAGAAGTATTCCCCTTGGGAAGCTATGTACTAATGCCAGGACCTAGTCTACCCATCAAAACAATTTTGGAACTCTTTTTCTGGATTGACCACAAGAGATGCCATCAAATTACTCTTGATGTCCTGAATGTCATCAAAATGTCTTCCTTTCTCAGGGGTATACAAATAGGAAAAAAAGTTAAGTTATCCCTCTTTGCTTATGATATGATTCTATACCTCAAAAATCCAAGAGAATCTGTCAAAAACCTCCTTGCACTGATAAAGGACTTTGGCAAAGTCTCAGAGTAAACAATAAATGTGCAGGGCAACCTCTTTGGGTCTCCTCCCACTGTGGGAGCTTTTCTATCCTCTCAATAAATCCCATTTTTAAATAAATAAATGTGCAAAAGACAGTCACATTCTTATACACCAAATACAAACAGGCAGAGAACCAAATAAAAAAGCACAATCCCACTCACAATAGTCCCCCCCCACACACACACACATACACACAAAATGAAATGAAATACCTCGGAATTGTCCTAACCAGAGAAGTGAAAGATCTTTACAATGAAAAAGAAAACACTGCTATAACACTCAGTGGTCTACCAAAGAAACAAAGAACAGAGTACCACATGTTCTCACTCATAAGTGGACTATGAACATTTACCATAATATTATAAGAAAGGAATTGGCAGTAGTGGGATACTGCTGTGGTGGTGGTGGTGGGGGGATACAACATCAACAAGGGTACCCGATCTCTAGCCAGGCACAGTGTGGGCCCAAGAGAGGCCCACACTTTACCTGTATGATGTCCACTTGTATACCTAATCCTGGATTGTACCCTACATCTTTAAAATAATATATATTTTTAAAGTCTTCCTTTATCTTTGAGTAAAGAAAAAAGTCATTGGGGCCAGATCAGGTGAGTAGCGAGGGCATTCC